TTTCCACAAATGTATGTTCCATATTTATGTATTAACAAATTATTTTATTTCCAGGTATCAAAGGTTCAAATGCTACTCAGGTGCAAATTATAGCACTTTTTTAGGAGAGTACCTGTTCCTGCATACAGCTCGTATGTGGGTATGTATGTGTTACACTATTTTTAATACTTAGAGCAACGGTTATCCACGATTAGTCTTTTACCATTGTCTGTTTTGGTTTTGACATGCATGATCAATGGTATTTTCATTTTAATGTCCGTATTTTAATGCATATATTGGATCTATTGCATTTATAAGCTTATGTCCTCTAAACTTAAATGTTACCATCTCTTCCTTTATTAGAACCATCACACATTAGAAGTTTGAAGAATAAGCATCCCTTCAATCAAATGCAATTAAATGGAGTAGCCCACTGGGGTGACCTCCATCATCTCATATAACTAGAACTCCAGTACTATTATTGGAATTCTAATAATAAAAAAAATTCATACTTAAAGGCTAATAATTAGAGAATTGTTAAGTTTGTGTAATAAATGTACTACTTTGGCATAGTTGGCTTTCGCTTCTATATCATAATTAGTGCTATTTATGTTTGAAACTTCTAAACATGTAAAAAGTTTGTATTTTTGTACGATATCTCTTTCGAACAATTCATGCTTAAAGATGACAAATGATTGGTCTAATCTAAAGCAAAATTTGCACAGTTTGTATCTCATACAAGTACTGTTGCATGTTTGATTTGCCTGGATATAAACACATATGTTGCGACATCATCAACAAACCATATCTCTCTCTGTCTTGTTGATAGTAAAGTTCTTTGATGAAAACCATCCACCTCAGTACTTTCTTTTTATGACTCGACTCTTCATTTGATTGTGTTAGCTATCTAAATACATATTGGTATTACTCCCTAATTCTTTCTGATAACAATTCTCCCAAGCAGTTGCTCATTTGCAATAAGCTAGTACAAATGACTTATTGCTAGCATCATTTATGTAAAGGTTTTTATAGATATCGATTTCTCATAAACAACCTCTCCCTTTTCTCTATTAGCAATCTTGATAAATTAGTTGATAGAAACTTATTCTGTGGAGCACCCATGACCAAGCATTGAAATATGCTGGATTGTCATCTGTCATGATTGTTACTATATTAATTTTACCTACTTCCTTACAAATTTCTTCAAAAATGGGTGATATTTAGCAAGTTTTTCATCCACTTCAGTCATTTTCACCAAATTCCTTTCCTTACTGCACTTTCTTTTCATGACTTTCTGTGATTGTGACGTCTCCGTATTTTTTTGTCTATCCGGACATATTTAGCAAGTTTTTCATGTCCCAAATGTGTCTTCCAATAATCAGCAACCACATCATCATCATTGTTAACCTTTGTTATAATTCTGGAGGGACAAGCGTTTCCAGTCTTTCTACTATTGAAAATCTTTGAAAATTTGTCTGTGGGTTCTCGAGAAGTATATGATCGGTCACAATTATAGTACAGAATTCTACCTCCATTTCTCATTCTGTGTTATCATCTTTAATATAGCAAGATAAACTGTTTTGTTCCATTTCATTTTTCCTTATGTAAAAATGTGGAGATAAGTATGATATTATACAAAACTGTATCGGCAATATTCATAATAAATATGTACAAACCATGAACTGAAGAACAAAAGTTTTTCATATTCAATTGTAATCTTGTGGCCACTTTTAACATGCATCCAGAAAATCTAACACATCTTCATATTTTGTTTCAATTCACTCGAATATGATATCATGTTAATTTATTTATGATTTTGTCATTATTTTCATTTATTTTGTTGTACATTAACTCTGTTCTGTTCTGATTTATTTATATTTATTTTCTTTTTATGATACTTTTATTTCCCAGTAAACACCTTGTGATTTGAGCGGCGGTAGCGACCTGAAATCCACAAGCATGCCCTTAGCGCTGTGACGCCCACGTGGAATCTATGTGGATATCAGATCGCTTCCGCCGCTCGGTGTTTTCCGGTTTGCTTATGTATATATAATTCATATATATATATATATATATATATATATATATATATATATATATATATATATATATAGTGTTATATATTAAGCCTCAATTTCTACAAATTTATCTTAAATGGTACTAAGGATATTAAGTTCATTTAATGCATAGACCTCATATATATATATATATATATATATATATATATATATATATCATTAACGAATCATAATTGATATTACCTAATGTAAGGTGACCATATTTTTTTAAGCCAAAACCGTGACAGCAAGTTTTAGTTATCCTAATCCTGGGCGGAACGGGACGGAGGCCCTTAAAATAATAAGTGCTATCTAAGGATACAATAAAAAATGATCAATAATTACTTATTAATTTTCGGACGATCCGGGACAAAAGATCGAAATTCGGGACAAATATTGCTTTTAGAAAACCGAGAACAAAAGGTGAAAATCCGGGATTGTCCCGGCGTAATCAGGACGTATGGTCATCTTACTAATGGTGAAATATTTTGAGATAAAAGCATGAATTTTTGAATTTGTGATGCCAATGTGAATGATAATCTATTTCCTGAAACTTATGATAAAAGACGTATGGAATAACTTCTTATGGAGTTTTAGTTGCAGTATATCATATCATTCATATTCGATATTGACAAAGGTTGTGTGTTTGCAACATTTAATCACAATAGCAAAAGCAAATACTGAAAAAAAAAGAAAGTAATTCTCATCGACATAGTAAGATCCTTGTAGTCACAAGATTTGAAAAATATGGAGAAATACAAGATATCTATCCTTGTATTCACAAGAATATTAGTCACTGACATAGTAAGAATTAAAAAATATTGAGAAATACAAGATATATACCTTTGTAGTCACAAGAATATTAGTCATCGACATAGTAAGAATTGAAAAATATGGATACATACAAATCTACCTTTGTAGTCACAAGAATATTAGTAATCGACATAGTAAGAATTGAAAAATATGGAGAAATACAAGATATTTACCTTTGTAGTCACCAACATATTGGTCATCGACATAGTAAGAATTGAAAAATGTGGAAGATACTAAATATTGTAGTTAGTATTAATCATGATTCAAATAATATCGTGATACCTCAATTAACTAAACAAATATCTATACTATTACTATATAATAATTTTGGAACAAACGAAAAAAAATTGATCGAATTTGGAAAGTATCATTCATATTTCATGGATCATTATGGTGTGACACAAATGATAGAAAAATTACAAGATCTCACAATTTATCAATGTTAATTATAGTTATATATTAATAATTATATAATGCAGAATTTGTCAAGAAAATGGAAACATGAAACATGAATATCTAATTAAGTAAAGTTATCAAAGTCAAGATAGATTAGATAAGAATGGATGAAGAAAGTTAAAATCATTTCATCATTGGCATCACAATATTCAATTTTCATTTACTATACTCTTCTTCGTTAATAATAAATGCTTTATGATTAATTAAAAATATATCACGATTGGGGCTAAAATGAACTAATATTCTAAGATATTCATTTGATAAGAATGCTTTTTATACACATGCTTTAGTCTGTGGTATTATTCACTCCTGTGTGCATTCTTCGTATTTAATAAGCGTTATAATATTAATATTTTCTTTATTTTTAAAGCTGTTTGGATTTATTTGATAAGTATTATTTTATTCTTCATTCTGTTTTTTTCATGACTTGTTAACTGTTATGGAAATAATAGTTGCCAATTGTAATTATAATGAATAATTGTAAATATTTATTTATCGCATATAATATAGTATAGTTTATTTGAATAAAGATTTTATCTCAATTGCGCTTTTCACTAATTTTGCTTAAAAAATTGTTGATGTATTCTTAAGCGAAGAAAACTTATTTTTCAGGTAGAACTTAAAATTTTTGGTAAAATTTAAACTATGTTTTATCCAGTTTAAACATTCAATCAACCATCAAAAACAAATTTGTAGCTCAAAACTACATTTTTCAAAAATCGAAATGCTAAAGTAAATTAAATAAAATCTCTCCATTAATATTGCTTTCTTCATTTTGTCAATACAAGTAAAATGTTTTTTGAATCATTAAAATCAGACGCTCCGTTCTTTTAAAAACTGAGTTACTGCCTTGTCGAAAAACTAATCAGCACTTCTCCTTATCAATAGGAATCGAATGTTTTTTGAATCATTCAAATTGGTATGGCCATTCGATTTTATGTAAACTAAGTAAGATATATCACTGGATTATCTTATATAATATCATACTTATTTAAATGTACAGTTTAGCTCATAGAAATTATTTTTGTATTTCTGATTGCTGAAATAAAGTGAAAAAAAAAAATTCAAATTGGTTGAACAGTGTTCCCGAAATCGTCCACGAAAATTTGTATCCGAACACACACACAATCGCTTATACACACATACATCACTTCTTATACATCTACTCTTCTTTTATCTATGCATACATCCATTTTTTGTAATAAGTTATGCGAGAATATTTAGAAATCTTTGAAACGTAAAAATATATAAAAATTTTCATTTTCGTTTTTTTTGCGATTACTATTACAGACCCTACGAGAAGTTAAAAAAAAATCAGTTTTAAAACAAATTATTGTTTTCAAAAAATATTAGTATTTTCAAGTTTTTCAAAAAAAATCTTGATTTTCAAAAAAGGTCATTTTTTTTAATAATCAAATTTTTCAAATATGTTCAGAAATTTGAAATGTCAAAAAATCAAGTTTTTTTTATCTTAAACTTTGAAAAATTTGAAATTACGATACGGAAAGTCCAGCAATTTGCCTTAAGGCACGATGTCACACTCCACTAGTTATTGAAGTTTTTAATTTTTGAATAAAGAAAAACAAAATTTATTCTCAAATATTTTTATGTTGGCAACGGTACAATAAAGCGAAGCAAAGTTCGTTCAAATGTCAAACAAATTAATGTACTGAATGAACATTTTATTTTTTGTATATTTAATTATTAATTAAATATTTAAGCTATTATATAAGTTCAAGTATAAATATAATAATATGTATTATAAAGCGGTATTTGTGATTGATTGCTAAACATAAAGGTAGTATATAATACTTTGAGGTTATTCCACATGACTAACTTTTAATTATATTTATTTCATTCCGAAAAAACATTTAATTCTAAATAAAGATACGCAAAGAAAATGTAAAGTTCAATTTTACTGTTTTCCCTTTCAGGTCTGCAATTATTATATGACTTAAGCCTAGGTTTGAACAATAGTTGATTGAAAAACACTGTCTGTCAAATATAAAGTATTTTGAAGAAGAAATTATCTTAGCGACATTGTTCAAAATAGACTCCCGTTAACTTAATGTAAGATTACATTCACGGACAAAACCATAATATGAATATATTATATTCTCAGAAACATTTGTGTTGACAGTTGAGAATGATAATTAATTCGCACATGCATTCTTGTAAAATATTACGAGAGTTTAAATGCAATTGACTCACTAAAATTATACTTCATACTCCAACTGTCAACAACTAATGTTTTCATTTGTATTTCTAGTCAAATTAATTATCATATTCAACAATAGTTCATTCAAACTAACCAACTATTTTTGCTAATGCTTATAGAACATACTCAGTGCACAAATATCTCAAAATGTCAGAAGCTGCTGATGATCCGATAATTAAAATTGAACCACAAGAATATCCAATCGAAGACATTAAACCAGAAATTGAGGAAGACCCTGAATCGTGTTCAGAGGATGACAAAACATGTCTAAACAGATTTATGAACTCCATAGTGAAAATAGAAGAAAATGTTGAACAGGAATTAATTCAGACTGCTCCTTATAAATGTGACAAGTGTCATAGAACATTTAGAAAGTTGCATTATTTAGAACAGCATATGTTACATTATTGTCATAGGGATGCATATTGTTCAGGGTCTTATTCAGATGCAAGTGCATTAAAAATACATTTAAAATCTTATACATGTGAAAAACATTTCACATGTACAAAATGCGGTAAAGCATTTTCTGAAAAATATCATTTAGATCAACACATTTGTGCTCGTGCCAGAAAACAAAATATTCACGCTCATACAGCAAAGGGACGAGGTGAACGTTCCCATATTTGCCAAATTTGTGATAAGACATTCACACGTTTCAATCACTTGAATCAACATATGCTCATTCATACTGGTGAACGGCCTCATATTTGCAAAATGTGTAAAAAAGCATTCACACAATCGAGTAATTTGAATCAACATATGCTAATACACGCTGGGGTACGTCCCCATATTTGCAAAATATGTGATAAGACATTCACACATTCGAGTAACTTGAAACAACATATGCTAATACACACTGGGGTAGGTCCCCATATTTGCAAAATATGTAATAAGGCATTCACACATTTGGTTCACTTGAATAAACATATGCTCATTCACACTGGTGAACGGCCTCATATTTGCAAAATATGTAAAAAAGCATTCACACAATTGGGTAACTTGAAACAACATATGCTAGTACACACTGGTGATCGTCCCCATATTTGCAAAATATGTGATAAGACATTCAGACATTCGAGTAACTTAAATCAACATATGCTAAATCACACTGGTGATCGTCCCCATATTTGCGAAATATGTAAAAAGGCATTCAAAAATTTGAATAATTTGAATAAACATTCACTTATTCACACTGGTGAACGTCCCCATATTTGCAAAATATGTAAAAAGGCATTCACACAATCGGGTAACTTGAATAGACATATGGTCATTCACACTGGAGAATGCCCCTACAAATGCAAAATCTGTGATAAGGTATTCAAATGTTCAAAATCCCTGAAAAAGCACATGGTTGCTCATACCAATGAGTAATTAGTATTTACAAAATTGGTAAGAAAATTACATATGACTGCTTATAGAAATTAATGTTAATTAGATATATGAATTAATTTTCATATTTTATAAAATAAATAAACATTGTTATCAAGGGCTTTAGTAAATAGTTTATTAATAATGTTGTACATCCATTCCAGGTTTAATAAGATTTGCAATTGAGCCATAACTGTTAGTAGAGTCTTCACAAAAAGCCTAGTTTTTAACTTACCGATAAGCTATTGTGATCATCCAAAAAACGAAACTGATAATTTTTGCATATCATTACGATTCAGAGGTTTCTAAATATTTTGGCATACCTTATAAAAATTGATGTGTGTATATGTGTGGATACAATTTTTCGTCGACGATTTCAAGCGTACGGATCAACCGATTTGGAAAATTCAAAAAGCAATAGATTCTTACAAATAGAGAGACGTGCTGATTAGTTTTTAGTAAAGGTTGGCCAGCCGTTTCGGAGTTACGAAGCAAAAGTGTAGAAAATAGAAAACGAATTTCTTAGAGAAAGGTGCATTCAATTTAAATGATTCAAAAAACATTTAATTCGTAATGATGAGGAAAAGTGGTGATTAGTTAACAATGCATGTTGACAAAACGATTATTTTTGGGGAAAGCCATTTTTTTTTCAAAAATAATTTTTTTTTTAATATCGAAAATAATTGGAATTTTAATTTTAGTTAAAATTCCAAGCTCACTTATTTACTTGGGCTATATAATTTAAACTTTGCAATTCAGTTTATATTATTCCTAAAAATGTGAGATAAAGTCCTTCATTCTAACTCCGCTTGATTAAGTTTTATTTATTTAGTTATTGTAATGGTCCAAAAATCGAAATTGAAAATTTTTACATTTCTTTAAGTTTTGAAGGTTTCTGAACATTTTGGCATACTCAAAATAAATTGATGTGTGTGTGTATGTATGGATACAATTTTTCGTTTACGTTTTCGGGCGCACGGATCAACCGATTTGAATGGTTCGAAAAACATTCGATTCCTATTGATAGGTAGATGCGCTGATTAGTTTTTGGCAAAGGCTGGTCCAACCGTTTCGGAGATACGGCGCAAAGAGTGCAGAAAATAGATATCGAGTTTTTGAGAGGACGGAGCATCCTATTTGAATGATCCAAAAAACATTCAATTAGTAATGATTGGGAGAACAACATTTTATAAAAACATTAAATCAGAATTATTTTTGATTATTACAAAAAATTTTTTTTAGAAATTAAAAAAAAATATTTTTTTTTTAACTTCCCGAAGGAGAAGTTTATGTTTTCATCAAAAAAACATCGATTCGCTAATTTTATGTTTTTTCGACGTTTCAAGCCATTCTGAATCGAATGAGACCAAATTTGGAAAAAGTATGTGTGTGTGTGTGTGAACATCAGATTTTTTGCCGTAAATCGACGTTTTCTCAAAAACGGCTGGACCGATCCCAACCATTTAAAAGCCATTCGATGTATCTCGATGAGGATTTTCGTTTGTCAGTTTTGTGCGACGATCGGCCGAGCCGTTTTTTTGTAATTTGGAAAAAAGTGTTGAACTTTTCGTTCACATTTAAGCTCATTCTACCGAATCGATTTTAAAAAATCAAAAACTGTTTGAAAGATATTAGTGGGGAATGATGCTGATTAATTTTAGATGAAAATCTACCGAGCCGTTTTCTTGTAATTAATAGTTGAAAAAAATATTTTGCTTAATGATTACAGCTTAAATCCACAAGCTGTATTTTCAATGGCTCTACTCGTAATTTTTCCGCCAGCCAAAGCGCCACTAATGTTTAACTATCTCACTCTTTCAACCAATGACGAAACGAAAAGCTCTTTGAGTTTCCATCATAGACCTTATACAATACATTTATGAAATTGTATAAGGTCTATGGTTTCCATATCTATACATACAAACATAATGCACTCGTTAAAATGTTTCCACACATATAAATGTCTCGAAGAGAAGAGTCCTTTTTTAAAATCTTTTTCATTTATTTTATTTTAATTTAATATTTATTTCTTAATAATTTATAGAATAAAAAATTATTGTGAAAGACAGATCAAATTGCTTATTCTAAAGGATTAATTAAGTAATTATTTACACATTTCGGGAAGTTCTTGCCACTTGCCTTAAGGCTAAATGCACTTCCAACTAGTTCTTTTCCCAAAAGCAATCGTTTCGTCAACACAAGCAGAAAGTTTTTTGTATCATTCAAATCGGATGCTTAGTTCTTTCAAAACCTGCCTTTTTTGCACATTTAGCTCCGTATCTCCGAAACCGCTGGACCTACCTTCGCCAAAAATTAATCAGCACATCTCCCTAGCAATAGGAATCAAATGTTTCTGAGCCATTCAAATCGGTTGATCCGTGCGCCCGAAAACGTGGACGAAAACTTGTCCACGTGAAATACATACATACACACATACACACATCCATTTTTTCTAAGGTATGCCAAAATGTCAAAACGTAAAGGTATACAAAAAATTTCAATTTAGATCTTTGGACGATTACAATAACTTACCCTACTGGAAGTTAAAATATAAAACAAAAAATATTTCGGGTACTGCGGTGTGAAACGGTAATGGAAAATCTCTCACTCTATTTTTCCCTGAATCGAGTTGGAGTGTAATTCAACCCACGGACCATTTTATGACAGTACCACCGAATACCGATCATTATATTATTCTCTCTGAAACGGCTGAGCATGCCCTTGGCAAAATTTTTTGAACACGTTTCCCACGAATATGAATCGTACTTATTATCTAAGGTACTCTTCTTTTATCTACTGGTTTTAGTAAAAACTATTTACTTAATTATATACTTTTATAAACCGGATCGAACCACTTCTGCAAAAATAGTGCCTCCTGCACGTCGACAAGCAATAAATAAGCATAAAGACGACTTACGTGAGAAGAGAAAATACAAGAAACTGAAAGCCGAAGCACGGGTTCAAGGTGCATGAAGCAAAAGTTCGGAAAGGAAAATACACGAAAAGAAGAAAAACGGGCGTGGGGAATTTAATAGTGGTAATGGAAATGGGTAAGGTGGTCATTTATTTGTGATGGCTCTCACACTATGGACCTGCTTTCAGACAGACTACCATTTATCATTATACTTTTTATAATCTCCCACATAGCACAAGTGCGAGTCAGGGGCGACCTGTGGTTCGACTTTTAGGTCGATCGGTTAAACTTTGGTCGCACCACATACGTGTATTTAGGTCAATCTTCGCACAGAAATGAACCTAAAGTCCGAACCCGGTTGCGATATTAGTCAACCTTATTGGCATATATTATGGATTGAGAAAAGTTCCATTGGGGGTCAAAATTTGGAACACACATTGAAAATATTTTGAAAATAGGTCGAAAATTTGGTAAATGGGTTGAACACCGTTCGATCAAATTTGGCAAATGGGTTAAAAATGGAACGTGAATAATTTTTTTTTAATGAATTAAATCTGAAATGAATATTAATGAATTAAAAATGCAATTCTAGATCAAAATAATATTTATTTTCATGAAAAAAAAAATCAAAGCATTTTACTGTAATATTTTATCAAAATGATATTATATGAAAATCTTACAATATACAAGTATATAATAAACTTAAACTAATAAAATAATACAATAAACCTAACAAAATCCACTGCAACAACATTCTTCTAACAGCACCTAAACAAATCAAATGCATATAATCAAGTGGTACGTTGCTAACTAAACCAACATGAGGTATTTCAAGCAATCTTGTATAGCCATTATCGTAGTCTTCATCTTGTAAGATTCTAAAATGTTCATCAGTTCTTGCAGGTGATTGCATTTCTGGAAAACAAATTCTACGATTAATATAAGAACCTTGAACAAGGCATTTTGAACAGCTACAATATCCTGTGTGTCCTTTTGTTTTCAGAATAAATGATTTTGCAGGAGTATCACAAACAAAATATTTAATTCGAGTCTCATAATGACTTCCGTTGTGATCAAAACCCTCATTCACTATGCCAATCGCCTCATCAACAAAGTCACCTAAAAATTCATTCGAATCTTTAGGTTTCTCAATCCCGCAGTAGAGTCCTATGATAAAAATATATTTATGTTAATACGTAATATAATTTTTACGTTTATGGCAATACGTATATAATATATTAATACGTAGGAATAATGGTGCACAATATAGGCCATGCAGACATATTCGAGGAACTTGATACAGGCAAACCATCAACATTAATTCCTAATTCAATGATAGAAGAATTTAACTTCAATCTATCAATAGAATCTTTCAAACCAGTTAACAATCCAGAATGAATATATTCTCCTGGGTTCATAACTTTCGATACTGCTATCCTTCTCGTCTTTAAAATTGTCCGGGAGTCTGCTGGTAAATCTTTAAAACAATCATCCTTTTTTAAACCCTTAAGCAGTGCCGATACAGCATTATGAGGAACCTGGTATGTAACAGCCCATTCTGCTAAAAATTGCTCTACATCAAAGACTTCTGGTATAACCTCTCCATTGAGGCTCTCCTCAGAATCAGAGCCTGAAATATATATTAATTTTTAAAACATTATTATTATTAAATAATTATATATAATTAAATTCATAATTACCTTGATTCTCATATTCATGAGAAGATGTCGCACCAAAATCATTCTGATCACATGCTAAAACTAAATTATTTACATATTTTTCTATTATCTTTACTATTAAATAATTAGATAAAATTTAATTTATAATTACCTTGATCGTGATGATCATTAAATTGCATTCCAAAATCACCCTGAGTACTGACACTTGTTGAAATTTCAACTTGATGAACAGCACTATCATTTACACTGGAAAGAGTCAATTCTTTCTTTATTTCCGCGGTTATTCTTTCGAATTCCCACTTCACCCTCCTTCTAAAATGTCGGTCTGTCACAAAGCCAATAGATTTGCGAAACTTTCTAGTCGACATATTTATATGGATTTTCTTTTAGAAAAATAAATCAACAAAATCACGTATAAATAAACCAAGCCAAGCGCGAATTTAAAATGGCGCTCACCTACCTGGCATCTTGCTCGGTCTACGTCTACGTATGCGCACTACCTACTGCGCATGCGCAGTAT